CCAGTATGATCCTTCTGACATTCTTCTGTGAGAATCCTCATGTTGAGAGGCAGAGCACTGAAGAAAAATGTTGCCCTGGTGCGAAGTGGTATTTATTGTGCAACTTTCTTGAACGGCATTCCTTATCAGCTGGAAGGACGTCATTGTGGTCATGGTCAGCATTACTATTCCTGTTGAGGGGGTGTATGGTCAGACAGGTCTAACTCACAGCGGGTTGTGATAACAACCTATTCCGGCATTTTGTTTGCCTAACCTTCTCATCTTATGTTTGGGGAAAAACAGAAAAAAGACAAAGCTTGAGCTCTTAAACCTGTCATGGATCACTTAGAGTAACCAGAGCAGCCAAATGATTCTTTGCTTGATGAAAGACTGTTTAAATCTTTATAGCAGTGTTGAAGAGTTAATATGCAGTATGGTAGCACATTCTTATTCTGCCATCTAAATGTGGATGTTGTGGCTGGTAGAAGACAACAACAAGTGGTAAACCTAAAGTGAAGGCTTAAAAAAGTTCAGAACCTGCTTATGATGCAACACTTGGAATGTCCACCTTTTCCTGAAATGCGATGACTTTGGAGACAGCGGAGTGGAAAATGAGAGGGAGGATGAGAAAAGCAGACAGAAACAGAATGTGGAAACGCACAAGAATCTGAAACTGAGACGTAAATCATGCAATGTGTTTACCTTCAGCTGTAAACGTAGCCATGTTGCTTCACTGAGTGTACTGTTAGCAGAGCGCACATGACAACACTTCCACTAAATTAATGAAAGTGGCTCTCACTGAATGTGGAACAGCGCAAAAGTGGACTTCTGTTCAATTTTTTTAATTTTTCACACAGTCCATTTTATTCAGGGAATTACTCCAACAGCTTTTATAGTTATAGTTTCTTATCAGATTCATTTTGATGGTAAGACAGACCATTTGAAAGTTCAGGCTGAGATAGATGGAGACAGACAGTGGATCAAAGAAACATGAAGTTCTCGCTAATGTTATTCAGTAAAATTTGCAAGTTTCCCCCAACAGTGCCAGAAATAATTTCATCTAGTTTCATTTAGTTACACTTCATCATAATGTGACAACAATGGAGTCTAAAAGCTTGCTGACAGGTTCGAGAGCACAACGTCCTTCATCTTACAAATTTGGGAACCGACCAGTCAAGATGAATAAGGAAGAGAGATGATGGATGAAGGCGGGAGAAAAGAGATGCGGAGAGATTGACAGTTAGATGATGGGGCTGCACTGTAAGCATTTCTCTCTGACAGTGCCAGAGCTGAAAGTGCAGTGATTGTTTAGTCTGAAGCTGAATGAACAAAAGCAGCGTGAATAGCTGGGGTTGATTCCCCCGACTTTATTGACAAAACCCTGCCAATTGTTTTAGCGTGTCAGCGCGCGCTTTCCACCAGCGTCATTGTAAAGGCAACTGAGATTGTTGTTGGGGGAAAAACAAACTGACCTTCACTGCTGTCACGCCAGCCCTGTGTGCCTGGAATTGGGTCAGGACTACCCACTTTGTGAAGGAACAGAGAGCGATCTTCACAGTGGGAACGTTATCCTACCCATCTGCACTCCAGAGTTACAACCAATATTTTGAAGAACTGAATGAAGAGAATAAGGAAACCATGCTTAATAGTTTTGGCACTATGGCTGGTGGCTCACCAGGCCTAAGTTTATGCCATGGTAAGCCTAGTGTAGGGTCAGGGTTAGCGCCTATGATGAATTAGACCTCATAGGATCGCAAAGAAAGAACTGTAAAGTCAGAAAGTTGACATGACTGGATATCTTTTTACATAGGTCTAAAACCATTACGTTAACTACAGTTTTATGAGAACAATGTTAATGGAGGTTTAGTTAGCCCACAGTAAGTGAACCGAAAGGTAAAACAGTAAAAACCAATGATGCGAGTGTCTAAACAAAAAGGTCTTCAAGTTAATGACCAGGAAGATAGTCAGGGATAGAGCACAGGACAAACTTTCAATAGTCCCTATGTGCTGATTTTCAATATGAAACTTGGGCTGGGGGTTGAGGAATGGAGGTCAAAGGGTGTGGGTTGACTCAGAAGTCCCACAAAACAGCAAAACCCACAGTGCATAGTTTGCCTCTTAATAACTTCTCTGGA